CCCCGCCTCTTCCCTGGAGCCATGCCCCGCCCCTTCCTCCTGATACCCTGCCCCTGGAGCTAAGCCCCGCCCAGCCACAGCCTGATCCTTCCTGGCCACCTGGAGGGCTGGGGCTGCCATGCTGCGGTCCCATCCCCAGCCCTCTGAGGAGGCCAGGGAGCTGGCTTGCCACACCGCGGCCCAGCCTGCCCTGCGGCCCAGGGCATATAGGTAATTTTGAGAAGGCTGTGCCTTCCCTTGCCTGCAGCACCAGCTGCCTGTGGTTAGACTGACCACAGCACATTTACTCCCATCTCAGCCCAGTGCTTCTCAGAGTCAGGCAGTTTATCCAGCTATTCCGCATGGATGAGTCCCTCCTTAATTTCCTCACATTCCTCTCAGTTACATCTCTGCACGCAGCTCCCTGCATCCGTCTCTGTCTCTCCGGCCTTTGCGCCCTTCAGGAACGTGCCACCTGTGATCCTTCCCCTTGCCCATGCCAGCTCTGCTTATCCCTCCAGGCCAGCCTGACCAGCCCCCGATCCATTTGGTTTCTCTTCCCTCAGTTTTCTCCAGTTTGCCCGCAGCAATGGGGCATTCAGAACTGAACACAGTTGTTCCGGGGTGTGCAGGGCTGGGGTTCCCCTTACTTGTGCGGGTGCCCAGTAAGATGTGCCTGTGCTGCCGGGCTGCCCCCAAAGCCCTAAACTGAGTCACCGGCACATGGGCAGGTGCAGGGAGAAGCTGCCGATCTTGTTCTCTGTATGACTTGTGAACACTAGCTGTGACTTTGGTCCCAGTGAAAGGTGCCTAGCAGGGTGCACAAGCATCCCCCAACGTGTGCTTCTATCCTGGAGTAAGCTAGTCGCCCCTTAGGAGTCAGAAGGCAGTTCCCATTTCCCATGCCCACTCAGTCCTTGGCTGCTCTTGATTAGCCTACTAGGGAGGATGCCAGTTAATGGTAGGGACTGCTCTGGTCTGACCTCTGAGGACAGGACAAGAAGCAATGGGCTTCAATTGCAGCAAGGGAGGTTTAGGTTGGACGTTAGGAAAAACTTCCTCATTGTTCAAGGTGGCTAAACACTGGAATAAATCTCCTAGGGGGGTTGTGGAATCTCCATTGCTGGAGATATTTAAACGCAGGTTGGACAGACACCTGTCAGGGATGAACTAGATGGCGCTTGGTCTGCCGTGAGGGCAGGGGACTGGACATGATGACCGCTCGAGGTCCCTTCCAGTTCTAGTGTTCTATGACTCTATGACCATTGGGGAGGGGACCCAGCAGGACACAAAAGGAGCGACACCAGCGTGATGAAGCTGTGTAGGTGCCCGGAAAAAGGGGCAGTTCTGGGGCCTGAGTTTCAGAGAACTGGAGTGCCCGCAGCTCTCGTCAAGGTGAAGAGCTGGTGCTCGGCACCTCTGAAACTCCGGCCCTTGGTGCACACTGCCAGAGGAGGGGTGGCAGCCCCAACCCCCGGAGCCCAGAGCCTTTTCAGTGTACACCAGGCCCTGGCAAAGTTGCTCAATAGGAAGCAGGTAACGGGACTGTCCAAGCGGTTGGCAGCAGATGGGCACAGAGCAGCGTGCAGGTAGCGCAGTTTATTCAGGGGTGCATGTGCACACCCGCATGGTCATGGCCGTGAGGTGTGTGTGCATACATAGAGATGGACTGGTAAGCTTGCTTGGGCCTGGTGGACTCATGAATCTTTCTGGTGAGAAGGAAAATAATCGAGGTGGAGGGGCCAGTGAGGGCAAAGCCTTGAATTAGAAAAGAGCTCCTCCATCATCCAGCGATTGTAGTTACCTCACCGGTTGGACACCGGCTGCTCACGGGGCCCGGAGCACCGACTGGGAGCCAGGCGTGGCTTGGGGCTGGTGGAGAGGCAGAAGGGGTTCATGACAGTGGCGGGGATGGAGGATGGGGGACGTGAGGCATGAGAAAAGCAGGGGGCGGATTTGGGAGCTGGATGTGGGTAGTGGGGGGCCCAGGATCTGTGTGGAGGGGAGCTGGCAGCCTGTGAACAGGCCCTCCAATGGGGGAGGGGCAAAGAGGGCAACTGCCCCAGGGCCCAGCGATTCAAAGGGGCCCGGAGCTCCTGGCTGCCCCCGCTGTTACTGTGGCAACAGCTGGGGCCCTGGGCCCTTTAAATTGCCGCCAGAGCCCTGGGTGGCCGGCTCCAGATGGCCCTGAGGGAAGGGGAGGGGTCCGGGCAGTGCTGAGGTCTGGCTGCCCCAGCCCCACCCTTTTCAGGAGCACAGAACCAGGGCCCCCTGCCCCTTGGCTGGGGGCCTGGAGCAGCAGATGTTCCCTACAGGGTGGGAGTGGTGCCTGGAGTCTGCTCCAGGAGAGCCTGTTCAGAGGGGAGAAAGGTGCAAGGAAGCTAAGGCAGGGTGCTCAGAGGGGAGCAAACTCAGCCGGTTTTGACGAGCATTTAAGAGCAGGTTAGAAAGACGTCTGTCAGGGATGATCTAGGTCAGTGGTTCCCAAACTTTTTGGCATCATGCCCCCTTTTTGATTTTTACCCCCCCCCCCCTCCCCCAAAAAACAGCAGCAAAACTTGTTGAGCAAAAAAAAAAAAACCACTAAAGGAGCTGGCCCGGGACACTCCATCCTCCCTCCGCCCCAGGAAAAAAACCACTAAAGGAGCTGGCCTGGGACACTCCATCCTCCCTCCGCCCCAGCCAGCCCGAGCTGCGCATGTTCCGACACACGCCCAAGCCAGGAAGAACAGAAAATACCGGACATTTCACATGGTATTTTCTAAAAAATTTTCCCAGCCAGACTGGGCTCTCTCTTGGGCAGAGGAAGGAGACTGGGCCGGGTTGCCTTGTGCCTCCCCAGAATTTCTTCACACCCCCCAATTTGGGAACCTATGCCTTTGTAGCAAGCAGCAGAAATAGATGGGGCAGAAAGTTCACCCGGAAAATGAGTAGTGGAGAGCAACTGTCCCCTTCCATTCCTGTGACTTAGTCGCCACAACACTGAGCTGGCCTGCCAGTCATCGTGAAATCCACCTGGCCTCCCCTCCTGGGGCATGTTGTGACCCCCTCGGGCTGCAGAGTGAACCACCATGGCTGTAGCATTCAGAGCTCGCGTCCTCACTCCAATTATCTCCGTGCTAACTTCTCTCCCTCCTCTTCTCTCCGCCTCTCACTTATCATAGACTCCCCCATGGGCACATGAAAGAATATTCCCAAGAAACGTTCCCACGACTGATTTTAAATGACCCAAGAGATAGGGTCCCACCACAGAGAAGGGTCCACAGTCTGAAAAAGACCTGGAAATCTTCCCTTCTATTGCTGCTCTTGGCTTAGATTTTTCTAGCCTTGACTGAGTTTCTTGGAGTAAGGTCTTTGGGAATCAGGCCCAATTTACCTAAATTGTCCTGAACTCAGTTCCTATGTAGCAGGCCCAATCGTGGCTCCTTACTCAGGCATAGCTCTGGTTGACATCACTGGGAGATTTACTTCCAGATCTGCCCCATTATTCCTCCCTGTCTCTTTGGATAGTTCATCACAGCATGTTTAAATTTAAAAAACACGGGGGTGAGGAGATGCCACGCTCTGATGCCACAGTGATGAGGGAAATTTTAAAATCTAGAGGGACAGTCCTTAGTGCTTGCTTGGCCAAGCCAACCTCTTTCAATTCTCTCAAATTGTCCTTTGTAAGTCAGTTTTCACGGCTCTTCTCCAAGGGTACGTCTAGACTGCATGGCTCCGTCGACGGAATTTACTAGACAAGTTTCCTAGATGAGTTTACTAGACATAGGAAAATGAAGTGACGATTTAAATAATCGCTTCTTCATTTACATCAAAACGGCCGCCGTGCTGTGCCCATCAACTGTTTGGCGGCACAGTGAGGCAGTCTGGATGCTCTGCGGTCGACAACAGAAGCCTTTGTCAAACGCTCCATTATGCCGCGTGAATGAGGTTTACCGGAGCGGTCGACAAAGGCTTCCGTTGTCGACCACGGTGCATCCAGACTGCCCCACTGTGCCACCAAACAGCCGATGGGCACAGCGTGGCACCCATTTTGATGTAAATGAAGCAGCGATTATTTAAATCGCCGCTTCATTTTCCTTTGTCTAGTAAACTCATCTACATGGCTCCATCAACAGAGCTATGTAGTCTAGACATACCCCAAATGTCCTTCAGTGTGAGAGGTCCGTTCTGCGGTTGAGGGGCCCAGAATCGGTTGTGCTATTCCAGATGTGGAGTCCCTCTGCCTCTTCCCTGCCACCCAAGCACACCTATCATTGTTGAAGCTGTTCTCTGATGATGTGAGAACACAGACAGCTAAAAAACACATCGGATCACATTTTCCAAAACACCTAAATAGCTAGGGCCCTGCGCAGATACAGAAATCCACCTCCGATCTGCAGCTGTAAGGATCAACTTGTATCCGACCCGCGATCCGCTCCCCACCCGCAACTGCGTGCTTTCTCACAGTCCCTCTCCAGAGGATCTGTGTGCACGGGCGGGGTACTGTATAAGAAAACCATGCGGCCTCACAAATGCGCTCGCTGCCACTGTTATTGGTATTTTAAACATCCCTCGGACTCTGCCGCCGGCATCAGCACAAATAGCCTTTTACACTAAAAATAGTGAAATAAACGTTGCACCGTAATAGTGCTCAAAACTCACACACTGAAATGCGAGGAAAAGAAGTTGCGCTTGCCATTGATAAAGTCACCGTGCTTAGAGCTCGCCAATCCCAATTTCTAGACCTCCTCAAATCTTAGGGGTAGCAGAGACCTCAGGAGGCATCAAAGTCCAGCCCCCTTCACAACTAAACCATCCCAGCCACTGTTCCCTTTGTGGAAGCATGCGAGGGGAATGTTAGCACGGGGAGAAGCAACGGCAGGTGCTCCCTGACTCTGGGTCAGGTTCCCCATGTGGGCGCAGGCAGGTCACCCTCCATGCCCCCTGGGGGGTGTGGGGGCAAGGGAGGAGCAAGGACAGCAGGCAGGCACAAGGGGGGCCCAGGGGGAGGGGGGGGGGGGGGGGGGGGGGGGTTGCCCAGCCAGTGATTAATCTGTGCCGTATCACGTCATCTGGAGAAGGGAGGCTGTTGCTTTTCTAAATTAGGTCATTATGCAGCTGCCCCCCTCTCCGATTGACCCGATACGATAACGAATTTAGAAGAGGATTCCTAAATTACTTGGCTGCTTAAACTGCAGCCATAGGAGCAGGGGTGGGGGCGGGGGCATTTTGCTGCATGTCTTGATCTATCACCTCTCCTTTCTCTGTATGAGGTGGGGGAGAGGGAATATAGTCTCTGGAAGGCAGGAAAGCAGCCTATGAGCTGCCGAAAACGGCTTCTCTTCCTTTGAGATCCTATATTTAGAGCCCTGCGTGGATACAAAATTTTTACTGCATCTGATTGTCCAGCTGCCCAAATGGTCCCTGGATGCAGATATAAAGGAAATAGCTGTGGATTTGCAGGGTTCCATAAATGACCGAGGTTCCTAAGTTGCAAATGCAAGTACTTTATTTCCTGCCGTCATGTGGGCATTGCAAGCTGTCGTCTAAGGAAGTTTATTATTCATGCAGCGGTGCATCACTTTGTTAACAGTGGCTACATTCCACACCAGAAGCAGCTGCACGTCAGTGGTGGATGGAATGAGGCCTATTTCTCCCTTTCCTCCCTCATGGACGTCTGGAGAGATTAGTTAACATGTGCTAAGCAAGTTGAGACATAGTTTTACCAGGCCTGCACTAAGACATTAGGTCAGGATAACCAACACTTGGGGTGTGGAAAATCCAGTGTTGACCTTGTGGCAGCCTCTTGGGGAAGTGCCTTGCCCAGTTCAACAGGAACACCCCTCCTGTCGGTGTCGGCAGCGTGCACACCGAAGTGCTCCTGAGGGGTTGCTGCAGCATTTGAAGTGCAGACAAACCTAGAGAAGCCCCAGTGGAAAAGACCCTGCTGTATTAAATCAAGGCCAGCCCCCTGCGTGGAGAAGTCTAGTCTGCAGGTGGGCGACATGGCAGCAGAGCAGTGTTATGAATTAGTTCTGTGGGTCACTCGTGCGTAATGCTGTACAATACACAAAGAGTATGTCTAGACTGCATCCCTTTGTCAGCAGAGGGATGCAGATTAGGCAGGATGACATTACAAATGAGGCAGGGATTTAAATCTCCCGTGCCTAATTTGCATAAAAATGGCCACCACGTTTTGTTGACTCAGCACTTCATCTGCAAAAAGAGGCAGTCTAGAGGGGGATGTGTTGAGAAAGAAAGGAGGTTTACAGGATCTGTCAAAAAAGGCTTTCTTTCTCGACAGACCCCCCTCTAGACTGCCCCTTTTTGCCAACAAAGTGCCGAGTCGGCAAAATGTGGCGGCCATTTTTATGCAAATTAGGTTCAGGCTATTTAAATCCCTGCCTCATTTGCAATGTCGACCTGCCTAATCTGCATCCTTCTGCCAACAGAGGGATGAAGTCTAGACATACCCAAAGGCAGGTCCTCTCTCCCGGACCTTTCAGTCTGAATTAGGCTAACAACACGACTCACACGCACACGGCATTGGACTGGCTTCCAGGAGGTCTGGGCTGTTTCAGCTCTGCCGCTGACTTGCCGTATGACGTGGGACAAATCACTTTCCCTCTTTGTTCCTGTGTCTCTTCCCAGCTGCTGTCTTGCGTGTTTAGATGGTAGGTTCCGAGGGGGTAGGGACGGTCTCTACCTTTGGGTAGGCCCCTGGTCTCATGTAGGGTCTGTAGGCGCTCCTGGGATACAGATTCAGAACAAGAACATTTTTTGAAGTGGTCACTGATTCTTGGTGCCTCTGACTTGAGACTCTTTAGGCCTTATAGTAAAAAACCCAGCCCTCCAGGCAAACCCACAGAGGCTGGAGGTGCTCTTTGCTTCTGAAGATCACACTCTAGACAATCCCTCAGGTGGGGGCCCCATATTTGTGTCATAAAACGGTTGGCCCCCTTTTGCCATGTTGCTGTGGACCATGCAGCGGTGCCGTTTTTTGGCCTGCTCACTGAGGATTCATTTGGTTATTTACACAGCACTTCGGTGACCGCTCAGTGATCCTTATGCTCTTTCCCCAGGAGACCATCACATTGTCCAGCTGCAGCTCAAGTCCAAGGAGACGGGCATGACCTTCGCCAGCACCAGCTTTGTCTTCTACAACTGCAGCGTCCACAACTCGTACGTTGGTATTCCCCTGACCGGCCTCTTCCCCCAGAACCTTATTGGGCTGCTTAGAAGTCAGCCCAGCTGCTCACGCTGGAAGGGTCCAGGTAGTACATGGACAACTACTCAGCTGTGAAGCAGACCTGCAGTCTTGTCAGTTGGGGCTCGGTAGAACATCTGTCCCACAGATGAGCCTCTTTGAGGGGAAAAAGTCCCTGCCTGCTTTTGGGACGTGGATACATTACTCCTCCTGAGGGAATTCTGTGCCCCCAAAAGCTAAAAGTTCTGCACACAAAATTTTAAAAGTTCTGCACATTTTGTTTGTCAACATAACACGCTCCAATCAGACCATTTTCAACTCTTTTGAGCATGTTTTTCAAAATGGCCGTCAGCCAGGAGGCCTGTAAGAACTCAGACAGCAAAAAGGAAGGATTCGGGACATGTTTTTTGACAAATGGATTCCTTAGGAGGCATATAAGCACGTCCGTACGCTCCCCAGCAAGCGAGGGACACAGAGACTTGTTGCACACACGCATGTCCAGCCGTGACTCCTGATCCAGGTATGGGGCACAAGGCTCAGGCCAGCTGGATCCAAGTGTAGAGGGGCCTAGTGTGGGGGATCCAGGTAAGGGGTGAGAGAGAGATGTGAGGGGCAATCTGGGTGCAGGTGTCTTGGTCGGGGATCCAGATGAGGGAAGACTTTGAGGCACAGGGGCTTCCTGGGGAGTTCCATGAGGTGGAGAGTGTCCAGGTGAAGGTGTTTGAGGCTCAGCAGGAGGGTCTGGGTATGGGAAGGACAGGTCTTGGCAGAGGGGTCTGAAGGCAGAAGGCTCAGCAGCAGGGATCCAGGTGCTGGGGGTGGTGGTGGGGCTTGGTGGCAGGAGGATCCAGGTGCAGCTGATTGGGACTCAGTGGGGTGAAGATGCAAGGGGCTTCCAGGTGTAGAGGGCGGGACTCTGTGGGGATGGGGCTAAGCAAGGGTGGTCTGGTTGCAGAGGCAGGGATCTGGATGTAGGGGTGAGACTCAGCAGAGGGTCTGGATACATGGAAGTTGGGCAAACAGGAAGGCAGGTCCCGATACAGTGACCCCTCCTGCAATGGCTGGGAGCAATGGGGGCAGGAAACAGGTGTGTGAATAGTTTCCTGAGCTAGAGAAAATTCCAGGAGCAGCCTGTGCAGGGGAAGGGGATGTCCTGTACTCCCCTCCGCTCCCCGAGCCCAGTCAGAACTAGCAGCCAGCGCCCAACGTAAGGTAGAAGCCACTAACTAGACCACCTCCAGCCCTTCCCCTCCTCAGCTTTAGGAACACCACGAAAGGAAGCAAGAGGGACAGAGAACCCAGCCCTGACCCTGAGTAATGATTTATGTCTGTCCTGGCTGCTCCCGATGCCTAAACTATAAGCACGCTGTCCTCTCCCGACCACTGCTGGGGAGGGGCATGTGAATCAGCTTTTCTGTGGGGAAAAAGTAAAATCTGCACAGGACATTAATTCTGCATTCGCGCAGTGGCGCAGAATTCCCCCAGGAGTAAACTCTCTTGGGTTCCGTGCTGACGGGGTTTGAACTCACGCATCCCTCAGGCAAATCACCACATCTGTGGGAATTTGCCTGAGGACTGACTGAGGGGAAACTGAGTTACAGTCTCAGCAAATGGCCACGTGGATGTTCGTGGCCATGCATGGGAAGCCCGACCCTGTACGCCTTCATGCACTAGCAGTCCTGGCTCATGCCATCACTCCAGTTAGCACCATGCTGGTACTCAGTGGGGTCAGGATCCGGCTCTGAATGGACAGTGGGGCAATGAAGAGCGGCTTTTTTGTGATGTGGACACTGGTCTCTAGGACTGGAGTGAACCCCACAGGCCGATATCCCACAGAATAACCTTTTCCTACCAGGATTGGGCTGGAACGCCCCTCCTGGTTGGCAGTATGGGAAGGGCAGGGTGGTCTGGACCAATAGACGGAGAACTCCTGCTTTAAAAAGAACATCTGTCGTGGGACTGAAATCACTTCTTCGGAGAGGAGTGTTCAGGATTCGCATGCCAGGCCGGTGGAGGGACCTCTCTTCGGCGGATGGCTTTGTCCCTGAGCGAGGCAGACGGGCTGTGTCCCCACCCCCAGGCCAACCTCTTTCTCAGACAGAGCACCGGAAGCGCCACACGGAGATCATTACAGCTGCTTGGTGATTCCCAAGCAAAGGCCAATCCTATTTCCGTGTCCTCACTGATTTGACAAACAGCAGCGGGGATAGATCAAAAAAAAAAAAAAAAAAAAAAGAAAGAAAGAAAGGAAAGCAAGCGATGGGGTGTTAAATATTTATGGCATGTTTTGGTTTCTGACTTGACAAACTGTAATATGCTATCCATTTTTAATTTGATTTATCAGAGTAAGCACTTGTTACCAATTTGAAGAACAGCTCTTTGCATCAGAGCGCGGGGCGGATTGACAGAGAGCAAGATTTCCGAGAGGACCAAAAAATGGTGTCTGCAGGTCTCTCTGATGCAGCCGCGTCATGTTTTTTACACAAGGACCCAAAGTGCCACTGGATCCTTTAAACATGTGCCTGTGAGAAATGCCACCCCGCTGCATCAGACAGAGGGGGAAAATCCCCCTGTGACGCTGTCTCACCCCTTCCTTGCCCAGATGAGCATGTGAGCTGGGAGCACCGGAGAGTCCCACCCTCTGCTAGCAGCTGCCTCAGTTCCCTTCTAGTGAGCCTACAGAGCACTGCTTGTCCCTGCAGACCGCTTGGCCTACCCTCCCTTCCCTCCGCAGCTACTCTGATAACCCTTCCCTTGCCCACCTGGAGCAGAATGAACCCTGTGCTTGCCAGAGGGTTGTACCCTGTTCCCGTGGGAAAGGGTCAATAAGTGCGTGGAAAGGTGCGTTGCGAGCCATGTAATACGGGCAGAGAAGGGTCCGGGGGCCTAATTCTGCTCTCTGGCGCTGGGTGTGACGCCCGTGTACCTCGGTGGGGTTTGCAGTTGTGTTTCCAGGCCCAACATGCCTGATTCACAGCAGCTCTGGCAGTGGCCGTTCACCTCACCTGCCTCCCCCACCATCATCCCTGGCCAGAAGCAGCTTCCTTATGGGGCACAAGGCTCAGGCCAGCTGGATCCAAGTGTAGAGGGGCCTAGTGTGGGGGATCCAGGTAAGGGGTGAGAGAGAGATGTGAGGGGCAATCTGGGTGCAGGTGTCTTGGTCGGGGATCCAGATGAGGGAAGACTTTGAGGCACAGGGGCTTCCTGGGGAGTTCCATGAGGTGGAGAGTGTCCAGGTGAAGGTGTTTGAGGCTCAGCAGGAGGGTCTGGGTATGGGAAGGACAGGTCTTGGCAGAGGGGTCTGAAGGCAGAAGGCTCAGCAGCAGGGATCCAGGTGCTGGGGGTGGTGGTGGGGCTTGGTGGCAGGAGGATCCAGGGACAGCTGGTTGGCACTCAGTGGGGTGAAGATGCAAGGGGCTTCCAGGTGTAGAGGGCGGGACTCTGTGGGGATGGGGCTAAGCAAGGGTGGTCTGGTTGCGGAGGCAGGGATCTGGATGCAGGGGTGAGACTCAGCAGGGGGTCTGGATACATGGAAGTTGGGCAAACAGGAAGGCAGGTCCCGATACAGTGACCCCTCCTGCAATGGCTGGGAGCAATGGGGGCAGGAAACAGGTGTGTGAATAGTTTCCTGAGCTAGAGAAAATTCCAGGAGCAGCCTGTGCAGGGGAAGGGGATGTCCTGTACTCCCCTTCACTCCCCGAGCCCAGTCAGAACTAGCAGCCAGCGCCCAACGTAAGGTAGAAGCCACTAACTAGACCACCTCCAGCCCTTCCCCTCCTCAGCTTTAGGAACACCATGAAAGGAAGCAAGAGGGACAGAGAACCCAGCCCTGACCCTGAGCGATGATTTATGTCTGTCCTGGCTGCTCCCGATGCCTAAACTATAAGCACGCTGTCCTCTCCCGACCACTGCTGGGGAGGGGCATGTGAATCAGCTTTTCTGTGGGGAAAAAGTAAAATCTGCACAGGACATTAATTCTGCATTCGCGCAGTGGTGCAGAATTCCCCCAGGAGTAAACTCTCTTGGGTTCCGTGCTGACGGGGTTTGAACTCACGCATCCCTCAGGCAAATCACCACATCTGTGGGAATTTGCCTGAGGACTGACTGAGGGGAAACTGAGTTACAGTCTCAGCAAATGGCCACGTGGATGTTCGTGGCCATGCATGGGAAGCCCGACCCTGTACGCCTTCATGCACTAGCAGTCCTGGCTCATGCCATCACTCCAGTTAGCACCATGCTGGTACTCAGTGGGGTCAGGATCCGGCTCTGAATGGACAGTGGGGCAATGAAGAGCGGCTTTTTTGTGATGTGGACACTGGTCTCTAGGACTGGAGTGAACCCCACAGGCCGATATCCCACAGAATAACCTTTTCCTACCAGGATTGGGCTGGAACGCCCCTCCTGGTTGGCAGTATGGGAAGGGCAGGGTGGTCTGGACCAATAGACGGAGAACTCCTGCTTTAAAAAGAACATCTGTCGTGGGACTGAAATCACTTCTTCGGAGAGGAGTGTTCAGGATTCGCATGCCAGGCCGGTGGAGGGACCTCTCTTCGGCGGATGGCTTTGTCCCTGAGCGAGGCAGACGGGCTGTGTCCCCACCCCCAGGCCAACCTCTTTCTCAGACAGAGCACCGGAAGCGCCACACGGAGATCATTACAGCTGCTTGGTGATTCCCAAGCAAAGGCCAATCCTATTTCCGTGTCCTCACTGATTTGACAAACAGCAGCGGGGATAGATAAAAAAAAAAAAAAAAAAAAAGAAAGAAAGAAAGGAAAGCAAGCGATGGGGTGTTAAATATTTATGGCATGTTTTGGTTTCTGACTTGACAAACTGTAATATGCTATCCATTTTTAATTTGATTTATCAGAGTAAGCACTTGTTACCAATTTGAAGAACAGCTCTTTGCATCAGAGCGCGGGGCGGATTGACAGAGAGCAAGATTTCCGAGAGGACCAAAAAATGGTGTCTGCAGGTCTCTCTGATGCAGCCGCGTCATGTTTTTTACACAAGGACCCAAAGTGCCACTGGATCCTTTAAACATGTGCCTGTGAGAAATGCCACCCCGCT